AGGCACATGGGACTTGTCAAAAGCGCAGTGTTATAAACATGCGTGTAGCTTACCATCAGGTGTACGACTTATTCGTCACTTGATATTATAAAAAGAAAATAACCTTTAGTATAATGTTTTTGTTTCGCTACAGTTTTAAACCTAGTGAATGGCAAATTTTGTATATCAACCGGAATTTTGTTATAGAAGAGTATACATTACCCCTTAAATGAATTTAAGTACTTTGTGAAGACGACTACTAACAACAGCTAGTTGTTTTTATTCCTGGTATTAATGTTATGTGTGTCACTATTTTTCATGAAGAAATTACTATTCTCTTAACATAAATTACATTTTCATAAATATACTGTGACGCTAGTGTAAGAACGTTGATTTCCTTAAAATTATCTCTCTATTGTAGTAAGGAACGATGTTATGTCGACAGTATTCACATTCAACATATTTCAAACTTCAATCACACCAAATCAGGCACATGTTCATAAAAGTTTCAGCGTTCGAACTGTGTAAGCAAGCATATTGTCCGCTTCGCAACGCGTCGCGAACTAGCAGCTATTGTCCGTCCGTGAAAGCACCTTACTAGAAACACGAACTTGCTTCAATAAACATCGAAGAGCGCTTTAGTCATACTTCGTTCTTTCATGTAGTTAGCTGAATATAACAATACAAACGTAAAAAAAATATTTAATCGATAAATTTTCTACTGCATTTTTGTATATATTTTTTTATATAATTATCTTTTACAAATGTGTTATAATTATACAGTACAAAAGCCAACCAGAGAAATTCACTGCGTATACAATACGTTTACAATATTGGGCAGAAAAACACATGAATATTAGACCATAAAAGAACTCAGATTTCATATCCAACTATGTGCATGTGTGATTTAAATTGTTCTAGGCGGTGGCAATCGTTAGCTGCGCAGAGCGCGACGGGAAGTGAGCGTGCCTGCAGTTCCGATACCTGTGTGGAAAATAGGGAGGGTGCTGTACATGCAGCCGAGGTGGCTCACCTAAGACACTAACCTTATAGAGAACCAGATGAAGTACGTGCTAACGGGCTGATCTGGGATTAGGACCTGACTGAGATGGTCCCTGTGCGAGCTTGCTTGGACAGGTCATAGTGCCCTTCCCGCATAACCAAAAGCTTGACAGGGAAGAGCATTATGAACAAAATGTACATAGAAAGATGAAGATGGGACTGTTCTTGACACGTAAGATAAAGAAATAAACCGCTTAAGGCTTTTACATAGTTCCTTGTCTCACCTTAGAATCGAACCTATTAAACGTAAAAAAATCCTGCATTTTTATGATGCCAATCGTAGGGGTCAATTATAAGAATTAATTCTTTTTAAATAACATTATATGAAAGGAATACCATGAAATTTTGCATTCAAGTTTAAGAAAATGTTGATTACACTACATCTATGTTCATATTTTATCTTGTACAATAAATTAAGTAAATTATCATCAACCCATTGTCATTGTACGTTTCAATCGATCGTAAAATGTACAATCTCAAAACTTGATTTGCCGTCAATGTTTCGTATACTGAAATTAAAAATCACGGTTAGAGCGAAGAGCGTTGCTTATATTTGTTTCTTTTTTTTTGCTAAATTCAGCTACATCTATGCATCACAAACATACGTACAGAGTAATAGATTCTTTGAGAGTATGAAAGCCTTAAAGGATGGAAAAAAAATAAAGGAAAAAACACAGCACAGAAAATACATTGTTTTGTTTCTTCCGTGTTTGAAAACAAGTGAAATATAGCAGCTAGCTCCATCTACATTTTGGTGAGTCTACATACAGGTGAAAATCCACAAGACACAGTGTCATCTCACACCTTTCATCACGCAACCTCGCACTAGCAAGTTTCCATTGCAGCCGCTAGATGACTATGTTAGATTTTTCGTGTTAAAAAAAAAATACTTAAAAATATTTAAATTTATTATGTAATTGTTATTTTTAGGGATTTATTTAAAAAAGCTTTAGCGTTAAGGGTCCAATAAATATTACTTCATTATGGTTAGAAGCTGGATCGATATTTTAGGTTGACATAATTTAAGTAGCAGTAGAGCACTTTGTGAAAGAGTTCGTCTAGGGAGGTACGACAAGAGGTAAAAGAGAAAAGAGTCTCAGGGTGACTGGCGCAGTGGCAGTGCTACTCAGATATTAGCGATTTAAAGCTTTGAGTTGCACTGCAACTGTTATGGACAGGCGTGTAGTTTATTATCCGGCGCACTACTTGTTCGTCCGTCCTTGACTCTAAAAAAAAATACTCCAAATCAACATATTATCAACAACTTGTAGTGTAAACAAAGTGTGTCCAATGGTCCAGAGAGAACTAATAACGACATCAAAGCATGGAACGAAATTGCGAAGTTAGTAGTTGCCCACCGGTACGACCAGTACCAGTAACAATGCCAGCGCCGACCTTGACAAACATAATTTTGCAATGGTACTAAAATGGCGTCGAGTGTCAGTACACTATTTTTGTGTTATATAAAGACCTAAATGATATTTCACCGCTTCTTATAAATGGTGTACCCCTGAATCATGTCTCTCGGTTTAAGTACCTAGGACATATTGTTAGTGCAGATCTTCGAGATGATGAGAGGGCGTCGGGCGTAAGGCATCGTCGGTGCGCGGTAACATGTTGGCTCAGAAAAAAAAATAAAAACAAAATTATCGACTAATTTCGTTGGTAGAATCTTTAAACCGCTATTCCCTAAATGACCTTATATTACTACACTAAGGATACGAAATATGCTTTACGTTGTTATTTAATGTAACTATTATTAATTACACTGTAACCTTTTCAATACATAGATTATGAAAGAAATATCAGAACTGGCATCAATGATAGTATACTTAAAAAAGAGAATCATTCTGGAGGTATATTTTTAAGATTTTATGATATTTATTGCTTTAGAATGAAATAAAAATCAAGCAATGGTAAAAGAAGACTTAAGTCGTATTGTCGTTTGTTTTATATTTCACATGTTTTGTTTGACTTCAAGATTGATTTTAAATGAATGAAAAGCCTCTTTTAAACGCTCTGTAGTTAAAATAACTGTGCATTTAAGATTATTTACCTCTCACTTACAGCATTAACTTACAAACGTTCCTTATTTGAAAAACCTCCAATTTCTTTTTCTAGTCGGTTATAAGAATGGAATGATCAAATAAATAGGCAGATAGAAAGTAATTCATATTACATATTGAATTGACCCATTTCACATTATCACAAATCTAACGAACTGACAGAATGACGGGATGGTCACAATAATGACCTTGATAAAGATATGCAATTGCGTCCTTATTTTCACTTTCATAGAATAAGTATAGGCATTTTATTAAAGTTCCTGTTTTTTGAGGGTTCAGATATGTCTATAAAATAATAAAAGTTTGTTGATGGACACTATTCGTCCACTAAGGCTCAATAACGGAATGAAAGCAAATTTTGTGATCATAGCATAATGATCCTTATGAGAATTATGTAAACGTACAAACTATGTATGAGCCAAAAACAGGTCGCGCGTCTTCCTAAGAATTCTCGCGCAATCCTAAGAATTGCCGCAGCTACCGTATCGTATCTAGTCGATGATAAAGTCCACTACAAAATTGACTTCCATTCCGTTCCATGGCAATGTAAAGAAGGCCGTAAAATATGTTTAAGAAACATTTTGGGAAATTAAATCACTATACAGTGCAAGAATTGGTATATAAATCATAATTTCTGTAAATATCCATGCATTCGAAAACATTAAAAACAACAAGGTTTATTATATGCATGTAGGTAAGTATATTCTTTTGTATTTATTACATAATCTAATCTAAGTTCAGAGAAATATATTTATTTATTTATTTAATTATTGCATTGTCACACTTATTAATAATTTACGTACAGTGGTTTGTAAGTGTACATGTGACACCCTGTAAGGGCACAGCAAAGTAGAAAGGGCACTCACTTATTATTAAATATAATGGTTTACAATCATATAATATATCATACAATATATAATCATACAATATATAATTATATATGTACGTTTACTAGTATAGTATTATATTATCTGTGGTTGAATGAATGCCACGTACGCGATTGCTATAAAACATTCGTGAAATATTGTACTCATGTCTGTAAAATTTTCTGTATTATTAGATCCTACTGCTGGGCCCGGAATTCTTTTTTTTTCAAAAAAGTATTAAGGCCATATTATTCGATTGCGTTAAAACTTTCGAGGTCGAGCTACTGAAGATCTTCTTGTGAATGCTTATGGAGCGAAGCTCTTAACGATATAATATGCCTCTGGTTTACAATAATTAGAATTTCACTTTTGCAGCAAAAATGACATGACAACATGGCAAATAATAGTAATAATAACGCACACACTCAACATAACCCCGCACGAGGAAAACCCTGTGTCGCGGGTGCCATGGACACACACACAGACAACCACAAATTACGCCCATTCACGAGAGAAATAAATGTAGGCCATACATATATTTCTCCCGGCCCGGGAATCGAACCTGGGACCTCTGCGTGGCAGTCCGGCATGGTAACCGTTCGGCCACAGAGACAGTTAAATGCAACTTTTCAGGTAATTTTCGACTCAAGGGGCTATTTTTGCTCTTGACAGAATATTTAACACTGTCATTTCCATATGGAAAACGGAAGCTTTGACTCTCCATAAACTATTTATTCTCAGTGTTTTACCGTTTTTTGTGAAAAATTTAACTTAAAAACTAGAAATATACCTATTCACTTACGTAGACACAGGGATGTAAATACCTGTTTAGGCAAACTGTATTTGGGGGTAACTCTAAATGATAAATAACTAAGAAAAGGCACAACATGTCGTAAAATATGTATAATCAAATTATATAATAAACATCATGTTATTTATAGTAAGTATGAAATAAATTATGCAAATCCATAATTATTTTGTTAAACAAAATTTATTTTTATTTACTCTGGTTTTTCTCTAAATGTATTCAAATATAAGCAAGGCATGCTACAGCGAAAAATCTGATCGCAACCTCAGCTTAAACAATGCACATATTTCGTAAACGGATATTAACTGTTATACGTTACACCGTTGGGCACAGATCTTTTTAACCAGGTACAAAATGAGCTTTAGTTTGTGCGTGCGTACATTAGATACATTGTAAATTGCATAGTAGTTTACTTATCAATACCAAAAAGCACATAAATATGATATCATGTATTGTTTAGAATTCATTATAAGAATTTACACGAGATATAAACTTTGTTTTCAAAAAGAATGATACCAAAGCAATGATATTTAGTTTCAAGGACAAGATATGTATTTGGTACACATTGATTGATTTATGGCTCATTCATTTTAAGAGTGATCAATGTATTTGATAATACGAGTAGTTTTATTAAATGCACAATTAAACGCATGTAACGCCACATTAGACAATGGTGGATTTTCGACACATGACCTTATGCAAAGTAACTTTTTGTAAGATTAAGCTGCGTGCGTTAGAAGCACGTAATAGCGTTGAAGTAACATTTCACGACGCGCCCGCGCCCTTCTCCGCCGCGTCGCTGCAGTGTATTCTGCAACAAACGTCAATTAGTTCATATAAAGGTCATGTAAAACAACAAGAGTAAGTTTACTTTAGTAGCAGTAGCGCTCCTTGTGAAAGAGTTCGTCCAAGGAAACACTGCCCCCTTACCTATTTCTGCCGCCAAGCAGTAATGTAAGCATTACACATGGGATTTATCAACTTATATTTCAGCGTGACGCGCGCCGTGGCAGTGCCCCTCTTTGAGATTTAAAGCTCTGAGTGGCACTGCAACACCTATGGACCAGTGTCGCTTGCCATCAGGCGCACATCTTGTTCATCCCTTCACTTGGCATAATAAAAAAAAAACTTGTATTTGTTGACTTTTGTAACAATAATAATAACAAACTAGTGGGCATTAATAAGAAAAATAAACATCATGTTACCAAAAACATCATGATTTTCATTAAAAATAGAATAATACAACAAGAATAGAGTGCAACAATTTTGGTAGGTCAATGGCAACAATGAAATAATTACTGTCATATAAATAATACTCGACCTAATTATAAGACGCATGATGCGAATGAATACTTAACATTGTCTTTTTATTTTATCGATTATTACTTGTTTGACAGAAATTGTTTTGGACGAATGTCGGACCGAGAACGGGTGTAGACCCCCAAATACGAGCGGGGGAAGCAATGTCCTCCTACAACAGGACATAAATATTTCAAAACAGTCTTGAAAACCTAAAACATGCTGTCCAGAAAAAAATTTCGAAATGCCGCTAACGCCCTTTCTACAAAACACCGACATACTTGTTTCATCATCTCAGCCCGTTAACACCCACTGCTGAGTATAGGCCTCCTCTTTTGCACGCCAGCTCAATCGGTCCTGTGCAAAACTCATCCACAATCTTCCGGCCACCCCGACTATATCGTCCGATCATCTAGCAGGTGGTCTGCCTCAAGGACGTCTCGCTCCTACCGGGTACCACTCAGTAACCGCCTTGGTCCATCGGTCGTCGTCCCGCCTAGCAACGTGTCCTGCCAATCTCCATTTTAGGCTCGCGATTCGCATGTCGACATCTACGGCCCTTGTTCGCTGTCGTATCTCCACGTTGGGTATACGCTCGATGAGGGAAATGCCGAGCATGGTGGGCTCCATTGCCCGTTGTACTACTGTGATTTTATGCATGTATTCCTTTGTGAGCGCCTATGTCTCGGCACCGTAAGTAAATACACACATGTGTAATAGAAATAAATAAATGATTGTACCATATGTACCAACCATAACATGAAAGATTCCATAGAAAGTAGTCGGTAGTCACCCAGCTTCTAATTTCGTTATCTTATAATAGTAATAATGTCCCAGAGAGCTACACCAATTACCTGGTCTGAAACTAGGAAATTCGTTGTACTTTAAGAACCAGAGTAACGGAATTTACTCCGGGGTACTAAATTAATACACAGTGTCTATAATTGGGCCACTGAACTCCTAAAATTGGTACTCCAAGTACGAATAACGGTACATCCTCAAACGCTTTAGCCTTAAATACAAGTCTGCAATAAGATGGATCCAAACCACAGAGTACAATAAAGCCTAGCTTGATGTACCTATCCGCATACAACAACCTTTGAGTAGCAGTAGAGCTCCTTGTGAAAGAGTTCGTCGAGAGAAGTACTGCCACCTTGCCTAGTTCTACCGCCAAGTTGTAATGTCAGCATTACTGCGTTACGGTTTTGAAGGGTAAGGATGCTGGTGAAATTACAGGCATATTGGACTTGTCAACTTATGAACTTATGTCTCAGGGAGCAGGGGACGGGCGCTATGGCATTAGATTTTGTGACATAAAACTATGCTCACTATTCAAAGCTAAGCGTATATACTAAAGAGCTGGTTGCTTGGTTTGTCTTATGATTTTGTGGAAAACTTGATTAATTGTATGTCGCAGCAGCGTTTGATTTAATTAATGTTATTCATGTATAATAGTCATAATGCTACATAATCTCTATTACAAATGACAATGTCTCTTTTTAGCAAATTTCTTATTCAATAAAGTTTCATTATGTCCTTGTAATACTATAATTATATTAAGACATAAGAAGAAAACTGCAATAAAAATTTCCTTTCTATACAATTTTTTTGAAAGCCAAGATATATGGGGTGCAAAAAAAGTGTATTTGCTATAATCTCTTGAAAGCTATGTTTCCAGTCGTTTGATCTTTCTATATAAGTGTAATCGAATTTCATCTTACCTTTCCCTATGAGTAATATATGATGGAATCCGTTTCATTCATTGATGATAAAACTTATAAATAGTTAAGTAAAAAGCATAAACTTAATCAGGCTTTTTTTTCTGAGTGTTCGATCTTTGTATTAATAATTATAACAAACTAGTGGAAGAATTTCACAAAAAATAATTGAATATCAATTTAATAAAAATTTAATTAATCAGACTGTTATGGATTGGCAAACCAATTTATTATTAAAATAATTTCATCATAGTTTCCATAAGAGCATTTTTTTAAGTTAAAATAAGTGCATATTTGACTTCCGTCTCACCTGATGGAAAGTAACGATGTGGAGCATGCTCAGCTACATTACATAGTGCCTATTCACTTTCGCCTTGAAAAGGCCAAGTTATGGCGTTCATGGAACAAATCGGTAGACAGGGAATTGCACTGTAATAGCGTATTATGGATGCGTAAATATAAATGTAGCGTATTAATACGAATAAATATAAAGTGTTCTCGACAGTCTTTTTCACAAAGACATAAATTCATTTAAGAAGCAATGTATACGCTTCTATAATAAAATGCGATTGATATTCGAAATTTGCCACTACGAGTTTAAAATCTAGTGGAACAAAAAATGTATACCAAAGGTTATATGTAACTTCTGCGTACTTGGACAACATAAGTTCATGGATGGATCAACCCTTTTCGATCTTACAGGTTGTCTCGATCAATGATATTTGAAATCAATGTTGTAAATATATATTTACAAATATATTTATATTATTATATATTTATAAATGATAAATTTGCACAAATATATATTTACAAAGAGCAACCTCCAGAGTTTCGTACTTATTCTTCTCAGGGTAATCTGCCCTACGAAAGAGTAATTTCAAGTGTAATTTACTTATCTATGAAATAAACATAATATTTGAGTTTGAGTTTAGAGGAGATCCGTGCCGAGCAGTTAGATATAATATTTTACGCGGACATGGGTGTAACAACTCACGAAAGTTTATTCGCAAACGGAGTAATAAATAATTGTATATGGCTTTAACCCTTAGAAGAGATCTGTACTCAACAAGGGGGTCTATTATTTCAGAAACTTTTGCGAGTGTGGGCACAACAATTCTTCGGCAATCAGATTAATAACAATGGAATGTATACGATGCAAATATACATACAATTATGTACAATTTAGTTACGTATGTACTTAATAAATTGTGTATAATACATTGACTTACAATTATATGGACGTCGCGTCCGCGCTAAAAAGTATCCGAACTTATAGGGCGTTAAAATCGTATACAGAGCGTCATTCACGTTTTAGTCTTCGTTTGTTCGACTGACAGCGAAGCAAGCAAAATTAGACAGTACTGCGATGACATTACAATTTAAATTCAATGTTTTAGCTTTTTCATGTTCCTTTACACGTCACTACGTTTAAATAGGTTGACTTGGGACATTTTTTTCGTGGTTTTTGTATTAGACCCGTCGTCCATTTATTTGTAAGTCAATGGTATAATATATTGTATTATTACTCGTATATAGTAAACTTCAGTAGCGAAATACTCCTTTCCCTACCAAGCGGATTTAGTTTCTAACTGCTAACTCGTAACTGCTTCGCATACTTGTCGACATGTCCTACGTGGTATTCAGCGAAGCGAGCTATCAATATAATCACCATAGATAATTAATTGCTACATTCAAAGATATTTGCTCTCGCATGTGTAGTAAAACTGCGTTACAGGTAAAGGGCTTGGCGTAGAAAATAAAAACGCAACCCGCACCAAACCAATGGAAAACAAATCATATAAATGTGGTAGAGACCAGATCATCGTCTTCCTCAATGCTGCTGAAGGGCGGGGCTTCGTCGAGGCTGGCCCGGCGGCGCAGTGACCCCCCTTTCGGCAAGTCGCTCAGCATCTGCAGAGCAGACCCTGAGCTTATTTACTCGCTTTCTATATGCTAAATATGACACCAGACAAACCAGCAGGCTTCTTTGTGGAAAAATGGTATCACTTACCTAAGTAGACAAGGAGATATACGACCGAAAAAATACTGTGTTTATAAATCGGATTGCACGCATAAAAATGTAAATTCGAACAGAGGATTGACAGCCCTTATATACCTCGCACTTACGCCGTCAAATATTACAACGTTTATAATTTTGCTTAAGTTAGGACTAACCGTATCAGAGTAATCCAGAGGAGCAAGACGAAGCGGCACGGCCCTTGGGCCGTCGCGGTCGATCCTGTCGTACCGTGGCTCCGGTGCACTTGGGACGTCATGCAATGCTTTCTGCAGCGCGACCAGTAGCCTATCCAGGACCAAAGCTGCTCGTTTCTGAGGCATTACCACCTGTATGTACAACATTTATGAATTAGTTACATTAGTGACCTGTGTACGACTGTAATGTTCGAAATATAGCTTGCTTGGGGATATGGGTCCAACGAATATGGGGTCCTCTGAGCATTTATTATAATTTGTAACGATACACATGGTAATATCATCTTCAGCAATAGTAATTGCACTCGGAGATGGTAACGAAAACTGAGCTATGAATGGAAATTGGATGGACTGATGTCTAAGCTTTGGGATGAGACAATCATCAACTGTTACGAGTTCTCGGAGAATATTGACTTGCCACTATTTAGAGGAGCACCCAAAAAATGACATGTGGCTATGGATCAACATCGGTGTAAATAGTTGCAGGTGTGTAGAGGTAATACACTTTTTCCAGCAACTCTCAAGTCTCGCACTCTACTCCAAGCGGCCAAGGAAGACAATTCAGAGGCAGGGATAGTTAGTGTTTTCCCATGAGATCTTGGGTCGTGGGGTCGCTACTCTTTAACATCTCGCCACAAGCAACTCCGCAAGTTTATTATAATTAGCGTTAATATATTACTCCACTGTAAGGTACTAGCCGTTTCTTCTAAAAACTACATTCCAATTTTGTTCTCTTTCTGACTTGTTTTGTTCTTTATCAATCTTATTTGTAGAGCTCAAACTTTTCGTAACATCGTTTTAACAAGGTCGTTGATGTACGATACATATGAACATAAACCCTGTACTAGTTTCTGAGTTCTCGAAACATCTATTTCAAAAACCATATCTATAACCAATCGTCATCGTGAATGAAAATGAAAAACAATTAAAAAATAACTTACGGAATAGTCATCATATTGTATTGGGGGCGCTGCGAGCGCAGCAGAGAGTGAAAGCAATAACAGGAGAACTGGACTCGGCATCATTGACTCCGCATAACACTTGTAATCCTATAAATAACATTATTTGGTAGTATACATGTATCTATAAAGTCAACAGCAACGTGAAGATTATTCTGTGAAACGAACTACTTTTAGTCTACAGCTTTAAATTATTTCTAAAAAATAATGTGAGCCCAAATACAAAACTGGGTTTCACCAAGGATCTGAGTGATGTACCAAATTGAGTCATAAAAAAATTAAGACCAAAATAATAATAAGAAATAATTTATTCATCGAACTTTACGGACTCATTTGTATTAGTACTAATGTTTTTAATTTTGAATATTTAACATAAATGTTCAAAATTAATGAAACGAAAGTCTATTTACATCCCACTTGAAATGGCGCTACATTGGCCAATATATTCACAGTCCATTCTGTCGGCGATATGTCCTGCAGTGTACTGTTGGACTATGTATACGTTTGAGTTCAGTTTGCATGCCTGCAATTTGTTATTTCATTATCGGTCTCGTGATCGTGTAAATCGAAAATAAATTTCTACTTAGAGTCTGTTTGGTTCATTTCTATCTCCATCCATTTTGGAAGGATTGGAAATTACTGACGTTTAAAAAGCATTTACATTATTCACAACTAGAAGAAGAATTCTCAAGTCCATAATGACGTTGATTAGTATTATAATTTTTCCTATAATGATGGAGCCATGTTGGAGCCCTAAAAATTTGACAAAACTTCAGATGACTTTGATCCTAAATGGTAGAAAGTAATGCTGCATAATAAAAGTTATTGTATTAAGCTTTCAAATCTACTGCGTAGTGTTCCTAATGGGTTATACTAAGTCTTACTTCACTGTATGGCTGCATGACCACAAAGTATAGGAAATGAATTCCCTGAATCTATTATCCTTAAACGAGTACCGAAACGTCGGTTTGTTTGAAAAAACAAATATACGCGATTTAAATCCGGAAAAATAGTTTCATTTCCTATGTGTAACAATCGCGAAAACCTAAGAACTCGATATTTTACGGATTTTAAAAACGGGATAGTCTTGAAACATAACTCATAAATGAGGAAAAACATGTTGTTTATTCAAAACCATTAGTTTAATATTAAAGTTTAGCATAAATCATTCAAAGCAATAAAAAAAAATTATCTACAGCAGTCTTTTAATACTTGACCCCCCAAGCCGACTTCGTCGACCTGGTTCTGAGCACAAAAACGTGGAGAAAATTGTTAAACAAACTTAATCTTTAACCTGTGAGACATAAAATTTATTTTGATATAACTCCCTGGTCGTCTCATTAGTGAATCACATTGTAAGAAAGTTTTTAAGCCCACTTTATTCTTCAACGTATAGTTTTTACTTAAATACAGAATACAAATTTCAACCATCTATAGTAAGGCCGTCGTGGCCTAGCGGTATGAGGGATTGCTTTGCATCAAGCAAGCATGGTTCGAGTCACATTAAAAATAAAATATTATTTAGCTATGAACATATAATATTGTTTTTTTTAACCTCTGAATAGGTGTAAATTAGTATTAAGTAATAATAATTAATGTAAAGAGTGTCTAAATCTTGTTCATACAGAACAATAATTTCCGATTTTAATAATTCCGTTAAGTAATTAAAACTGAATAGATAATGGGAACGCACACACTCTAGATAGCCCCGCACTAGGGAAACCTTGTGTCGCGGGTACCATGCACACACACATAGACAACCACAAATTACATCCAAACTCACGAGAGAAATAAACGTAGGGCATAGAAATATTTCTCCCGGCCCGGGTATCGAACAAAGGAAACATGGAACAAGCGTAATCAGTAATCACAGAAGACACGATCGTATGTAAACTACAGAGCTATTACGTGAGTTGTTAGTCTATCCAAAACCACCCTACGCTTTATTAATAATATCTACCCATCCACCTTAGGCAATTTCTAGTAAGAAAATTATGGTGACTTGTCAACGTTAATATTAAAAAGTGAAACAATGCTGTTAATAACATTGAAACAAAATAGTGCTCGTGGAATCGAACCACAGGTTTTGTATATACAACAAGCCGTTTGACCAATTTACTTGGATGTTAAATGACGAAATTTAGTATTGGTTTTAAAAATATGTTAATCATCTTCAAGCAACACTCCACTATGTTACTTATGCTATAAAGTTGAAATTGCTTTAACTTTTTCGTTGTCCAATACGTAACATGGCTCTCAGAATCGAAAGGTCGGTTTGGGCATGTTCAGGTATATCATGTATACGACTGTACTTTAATGAATTAAACTGCTGTTTAGCCTAATTACACTGACAAAGTTTCGGATATCAGTTGGCGTATAAAATAAAAATAAACTATTGAATTTTCAAATTTGCAGAATTTAGTTCTCAGATGCAATAAAATATCTTGACTAAATGGCGCGTGATCTTATAAGATCACCCATCTTATAAGACACTTCATACGGGGCATTCGTATAGGAAATGAATCTATTATTCGGATCTAAATCGCGCATACTTGTTTTTTCAAAGAAAGTAATGTTCGGCCGTGACCATGGGACTTGTAAAGGGCTCGAAATGTTGGTTTGTTTGAAAAAACATGTGCAGGCAATTTTGATCCGAAAAATTGTTTCATTTCCTATGTGTAACTATCGCGAAAACCTAACTAACCTAAATCGATAGGGGCATTCGTATTTCAACTTTTTGTCTTTCCAGAAACTTTAATCCTGCATTCTATTCAGCATTCTGAATAAAATCTTGGACTGTGATAGAACATACATTATTTTTTTATTTTAAAAAATCAAACCAATTAACCATAAAATTCTATAAACTCTATCTTGAACAGTAAA